GTTAACCGGGTTGGGGCGACGGTTACACGGGTACCTTAAACACCCTAGCCGACGCAGCAGGTAGTCTCTAATACGGAATCGCTAGGAGAACTAGTTATACGCAGCTTTACTGGAGAGATTAGAACGATCGCGCGCCGACATTAACTACCTCTAATTTGCTTGATCAGTATGTCGTCGACTCCGTCCTGGTCTTCGTCGAACTCCATGTAGCCCTTCAGCCCGATGAAGCTCACGTTCTTCAACCCCTCCATCATAGCTTCTGTCATCTGAGCGTCCGTGTAGGAGAAATCCTCGAGCCTGCCTAAACCTACGGAAGTGCGGAAGAAACGGGCAGTGGGTAAGTTAGCATATGGTATTAGGAGAGGGGGCATGTGGCGTTGTCAAAAAATTTGTTGTTCTATAACGGATGCTATAACTACGGAAAAGCCCATGATGAAAGTAAGATGCGAGAAAGAAAAGAAAGCGTTGTCAGAAATCCATCATTACATCATGGTTCACGTGTACCCGTCTTGTAGTGGCACCCTATGCATTTCGATGTAAAGTTTAATGACTTTTAACCTTTGTACTTTGATGGCTTTTGCCCAAAGGCTAATCAGTTCACCCATGCCCGATGCATGTTCATAGATGTTTTTGGGAATTAGGATTAGTTCTAGATTAAAACACTATATAATGAAACTGGAACTAAACATCATACTGTGACATACCGTATAGAAGCTACTGTCAGTTGTCAGAATCGAAGTTGTACAATCAATGAGTTTTTCATGCTTGGCATTATTTCATACGAAAGTAACAGATTTAAAGCAGATATAGAACACAAACACTAACAGATAGAGAGCATGTACAATAACATATGTAGAGCAAGTACACTGACAGATATAGAACACGTGCACTGACAGATATAGAACACGTGCACTGACAGATATAGAACACGTGCACTGACAGATATAGAACACGTGCACTAACAGATATAGAACACGAACACTAACAGACATAGAACACGTGCACTAACAGAATATAGAACATGTACACTAACCGATGTAGAACACGTGCACAAACAGATATAGAACACGAACACTAACAGATATAGAACACGTACACTAACGGATATAGAACACGTGCACTAACAGATATAGAACACGTACATTAACAGATATAGAACACGCACACTGACAGATATAGAACGTGTGCATTAACAGATATAGAACACATACACTACCAGATATATACCATGTACAATAACAGATGTAGAGCAAGTACACTGACAGATATATAACACGTGCACTAACAGATATAGAACACGTGCACTAACAGATATAGAACACGGGCACTAACAGATATAGAACACGTACACTAACATATATAGAACACATACGCTAACAGATATAGAACACATACGCTAACAGATATAGAACACATACGCTAACAGATATAGAACACATACGCTAACATGTATGAAGCGCGCGTGCTAACAGATTATATGCTCGTGAACATACGTACCTCGCTTCCTGAGAAATTTCGACGAGTTATTCAGACCGAGCGCCATCGCCCACACGGGGTCGTACGCCAGCGGAATCAGATTCGATCCGAACAGCTCCCGGCCCTCTGTGATCACGTTGTACCGTTCGTACAGCTCATCGGGCGTGAATCCGGATACGGTCGGTTCCCGGTCGCGCTCCTTCGACCTCATCATGCGGTCGATGGTCAGTGCGCCGTCGACGACAGTGTTCATCTGTTCGGCCGTGCAGCCGATGTCAGAGTCGGCGGCGCCCACCAGCCGGTGCCGTACCAGCCGTTGATGATCCACACGTGGCGAGGCGCGTAGAGACCCACTTTGTACGCCTGTGTGTTGGGGGATGGTGGGCGGGGGCGGGAGTGTGTGTGTGTGTGTGTGTGTGTGTGTGTGTGTGTGTGTGTGGTGTTTTGCGTGCGTGTGTGTGTGTGTATTGTTGTGTGTGTTTGTGTTGCTGTGTGTGTGTGATAGTGTGTGTGTTGTGTTGTCGTGGTGCGTGTGCGTGTGGCGTGTGTTGTGGCGTGTGCGTGGCGTGTGTGTGTGTGTGGCGTGTGTGGTGTGTGTCGCAGTGGCGTGCGCTGTATGTGTGTGTCGTGTGTCGCGCGCGGTCCGCGTGTGTTGTGTGTGTGGTGTGTGTGTGTGTGTGTGTTGTGTGTGTGTGTGGTGTGTGCTGTGTGTGTGTGTGTGTGTGTGGGTGTGTGTGGTGTGGGTGTGGTGTGTGTGGTGTTTGTGTGGTGTATGTGTGGTGTGTGTGTGTGTGTGTGTTGTGTGTGTGTGTGTAGTGTGTTGTGTGTGTGTGTGTGTGTTGGTGGTGTGTGTGTTGTGTGGGTATATGTGTGTGTGTGTGCGTGTGCGTGTGGCGTGTGTGTGGGCGTGTGTGTGTGTGCTGTGCGTGTTGTGTGTGTGTGTGCATGTGCGTGCGTGTGTGTGTGTGTGGGTGTGCGCGCGAGCGCGCAGCGTGTGCGTGGTGTGTGGTGTGGTGTGTGTGTGGGTGTTTGTGGTTTTTGTGTTAATGTGTGTGTGGTGTGGTGGCGCGCGCCGGTGTGTGTGTGTGTGTGTGTGGTGTGTTGTGTGCGTGTGTGTGTGTGTCGCGTGTGCGTGCGTATGTGTGTGTGTGTGCGCGCGCGTGTGCGTGTGTGTGTGTGTGGGGGTGTGGTGTGTGTGTGGGTGTTTGTGTGTGTATGTGTGTGTGTGTGTGGTGTTGTGCGCGCGCCGCCGCGTGTGTGTGTGTGAGTGTGTGTTGCGCGCGCGCTGTGTGTGTGGCTGTGCGTGTGGCTGTTGTTGTGTTTAGTGTTGTGTTGTGTGTGTGCTGGTGTGTGTGTGCGTGTGTGTGTTGTGTGTGTGGTGGGTGTGTGTCGTGCGTGCTGTGTGTGATGTGTGTGTGTGTGTGTGTGTGTGTGTGTGTGTGTGTGCGCTGTCGCCGCGCGTGTTGCGCACGTAGGTAAGAAAAACATCAACATTAGTTGTCAACAGGATGAATTGCGTTGCTACCGACTCTAAACTTTCTTGCCCTATAGACGCTATTATGGCGAATGATACCGACTTCAAGGCGCTCTGATAATAGTTGCTGTATTTTTATTCCCCTTAGTATTCCTGGTACTTTCCTTCTAACGCGCTTCAACCGCGATAATACGGCTAGGTTTCAACACTCTCGCGCTTCTAAGGGGGTATAATAATGGGACAGTTGGTGCAAGAAAGCACACATGGGCAACACGTATAAGTCGACAGCTGGCGTATATGTAAGGGGAAAGCTGGTGTATGTAAGGTGACATCGGGGGCAAGAAACGACTGCGGACAGTGGTGGTATATAACGAGGCAAGGCGTATGTAAGGATACAGCGAAATATGTAAGGGTCAGTGGAGAATGCAAGGAAACGGCGCAGGTATCTAAGGTGACAGGGGAGTAGGTAAGGTTTCAGCGGGGGTAGGCTAACGCTCCATTAGAAGTGTTCCCAACTTTGATATCATAAATGATTAATGATTAATGATTAATGATTGATAATCCTAACCCTAACCCTAACCGGGCTAACCCTAACCCTAACTCTAACCTAATGACATTAAACCACAAACTAAATACATGACCATTGACGCATATATATATATATATATATATATATATTGCAAGCGGGCAAATCCTACACGCTATGAGAAGTGATGCGATGCGGGAATGCAGTCCCAGGGGAGATGTATTAACACAGAGACGGGAGAGTCAGCGTCGACAGCGGAGATCAAGAGAGCCGTGGACTGCGAGATTGGCGCCGGCTAGCTAGAAGGCCGCAGTCGAAGGCCACGTTCTTGCGAATTGTGACAAGCCGCTAGACACCGACCAGAATTGACCCTATTGCATATGCAGAGGCCAGAATCGGACTTATGGATCCGAGGCCAAGTGCGAAAAACGCTTATACTGCCACCGTAATTCGGTGGAAGTGTAATGTACGGCAGTTGTAATACTCCACTCAGCCGTATTTAGTATGGGCCGATTGCCGGAAAAGGGGAGGCTAAAATATAGCACGGTGACGTAGGGGAGCGGAACGCCGTATAATAAGCGGAAGCCGCCGCGCTTCTAGAGCTCTGGCTTGTCGCCCGCAGCGCACCGGCGCTTGAGATAAGGTATGTGTACGTAACCGCTCTTGCTTTCGGTAAGTGCACCGGAGAAAACCCCATTTTGTTCATGTATTGTATTAGAGATTGAGTAAAGCAGCCAGTGAACGTTACTCTCTTGTCTTGTTTTATCTGCTATCAGTCCTAGTTAGCATGACTGCTTCTAATACGGTAGTGCGAATCAACACGGGCCTACAATATGTTATTAATGACGGCATAAATGCCATTAAAAGTTGGGAACATTCTAATGGATATCAGCCCCGGGGGGGAAAACCCCACTAGAAGCGTGTGTCAAGAGACGCGCTGGAGTATGTAAGGAGACGGAAAACTATGTATGCAGACAGAAAGTGTATGCACGGAGGCAGGGAAGTTGGTAAGTGAGAGCAGCAGTGGTAAAAGAGACAGCAGTGGTAAGGAGACAGCGGTGGTAAGAAGACAGCAGTAGAAAGGAGACAGCGGTGGTAAGGAGACAGCGGTCGTAAGGAGACAGCAGTGGTAAGGAGACAGCGGTGGTAAGGAGACAGCAGTGGTAAGGAGAGCAGCAGTGGTAGGAGACAGCGGTGCGCCCAGGAGACAGCAGTGGTAAGTGAGACAAGCAGTGGTAAGGAACAGCGGTGGTAAGGAAGACAGCGTGCGTATAAGGAGACAGCAGTGGTAAGGAGATGCAGCGGTGGAAGGAGACAGCAGTGGTAAGGAGACAGCGGTGGTAAGGAGACAGCGGTGGTAAGGAGACAGCGGTGGTAAGGAGAGGCAGTGGTGGTAAGGGAGACAGCGTGTAAGGAGAACAGGCAGTGGTAAGGAGAGCAGCGGTAATAAGGCGACAGGCGTAATAAGGAGACAGCGGTGGTAAGAGGTAGACAGCGGTGGTAAGGAGACAGTGGTGGTAAGGAGACAGCGGTGGTAAGGAGACAGCGGTGGTAAGGAGACAGCGGTGGTAAGGAGACAGCGGTGGTAAGGAGACAGCGGTGGTAAGGAGACAGCGGTAATAAGGAGACAGCGGTGGTAAGGAGACAGCGGTGGTAAGGAGACCAGTGGTGTAAGAGACAGGTGGTGGTAAGGAGACAGCGTGGTAAGGAGACAGCTGTAATACAGGCGAGCCAAGCGCGGGTTTGGTAAGGAGACAGCGGTGGTAAGGAGACAGCGGTGGTAAGGAGACAGCGGTGGTAAGGAGACAGCGGTGGTAAGGAGACAGCGGTGGTAAGGAGACAGCGGTGGTAAGAGACAGCGGGTGGTAAGGAGACAGGTGGTAAGGAGACAGCGGTGGTAAGGAGACAGCAGTGGCAAGGAGACAGCAGTTGTAAGGAGAGAACTGCGTCATGAAGGGGGACAGCGAGATAAAAGAAAGGAGAGCGGGGGTATATGAAAAGGCAGGGGTAGATAAGGAGGCTGGTGTAGGAGACAGCGAGGGTATTGAAGAAGCCAGTGGTTCTATGGTGGGGCACAATGTCATGGCAGTGGAAGATAGCAGGACCTCGTACGCGCGTGCAGACAGACGGAAGATTGGCTTGCTTACCTCGCAAAAGATCTGACGTGCCACGGGTAGGAAGAAGGAGCCGAATATTATACGCGCGTCTTGTTTCTGCGATAACAAGCAAAAAGTCGTACAGTGGCGTGTTTATGGTGGCTACGGCAGCACGCGCCAATGCAAACGGATTAAAAAATTACCTAATGATATATTGCTCAGTTGGCATGCAATTTATCATCACTTTGATGTAGCGCCCAATTACCCATCAGCATCAGTAGGGCTCATAGGGTCTATGTCCCCCAGGGTACTGCCGGAACGTACCCTGGGTATGGTCCGGTATACCGGAATGTACCCTGTTGACTATTTGATATGGTTAAGGTTAGGGTTAGGGTTAGGGTTAGGGTTAGGGTTAGGGAGTAGGCGTAGTCGACTCCCTAGACTCGTTAGTGGAGTAGGCTAGGTACAGTCCTGCATATTAGATAGTACCAGGGTACGTTCCGGTATACTGGACCGTACCCAGGGTACGTTCCGGCAGTACCCTGGGGGACATAGACCCTCTCAGCCTACACAAAAACTCCATCAAGGACGAGTATGTCCAAGGACGTCCAAGTATCTATCTATCTATCTATCTATTTATTTATCTAACTATGATTGAATGCTTTACACGCCGTGGCTATAATCAATCTGATCTATCTAAGAAATTAAAAAAGATACTTCCCTTAAATCGGGCGTCGTTAATAACCCCTAGAAAAGACGGCGTGAATAAGACATCAGACAGATGTCCATTGGTTTTAACCTATCACCCTTCAATCCTGCACATCAAAAGTTTGTTAATTGATAATTATAAAATTCTTCAAAACGATCCAATCACCGCTAACATCTTTTCAAATCCACCTTTATGCTCGTACAGGTGTGATACCAACCTCCGCGACATTCTTGTTTCAAGCACCGTTTACAACTCTGACAACCCCGTAAGCCAACCTGGCTCATACCCGTGGTGTCGGAAACGTTGCAGTACTTGCAATGTCATCACGAATAGGTCTGTGGTTAAAGGGACTCGGGGCAAATTTATAGTATGGGATTCATTTACATACGTGTCGACGAACCTCATTTACACCATTGAATGCGTTAAATGCCAAATTTACTATATTGGC